CCCCCCTTCGATCTTTATAATTTTTTTTTCAAGAAAACTGAAAAAAATGCCCCTATATTTGGTGAAGAGTGTATGCTGGTAACTTTCTTAAAAAAAATCTATAATTTTTGAAATTTTTGTTGGTTTTTACAAGTTGGTGAAATTGCATATTTTTTAGTAAAATAGTTATTTATTTGGATTCCACGCATAATTTTCAAAAACTTTGCATATAAAAACTTTTTTCCTAAGTCCAGCCGTTCTCAAGTTAATGCAATTTAAAAAAATAATTATAATAATTTTCTACATTTTGGGCCATTTTCAAATGTTAGTCGTGATGTCCAGCAACGAGATGTTTTTCCATGAATATATATTAAAAAACAAACAATTCATTATCAAATATGGTAGCTGTCAGACTTACCCGTTTCTATTTAGACGCAGCAGAAAAGAAACAAGTTTATAAGTAAATACTCTCAAATATACCCAAATAATCAACAAACCCACTCATGTGCCTTTTTTCTGTCCTCTATTAGTTGTATACCTGGATAGAATTGTGTATGTCATAACAGAGGCTCAAAACATAAACAGGTAAACAAATATGTTATTAAACCTGTAATTGAGATAAATTCTCTAGGTACTTCTCTGACGTATACCATATTGTGCCTTAAGAGCTCATCCCGCGATATCACAACTACATAAAAAGGCACCCCGTGGAGGCTTCTTACACTCACACTTAAAAAAGTTTGCTATAATCAATTTCACCTAATGAAGATAGGTATAATGTCAACATTGTAATTATTCTGCTACATATATCTATATATATTGGGACGTTCTTCACCTGTTCTGTATCCGCTGATTTGCCGCAGATCCCGCCTCTCAAGGGTGAACAAACTGGCTGTCTACAAACAAATCATAGCACCTGCGATCCTCTATGCAGCTCCCCTGTGGGAATCATGTGCACAGACTCACAGGAACAAAATCCAAATCACTCAGAATAGAGTGCTGAGGATGGTTCTTGATCGTCCTTTCGACACTAGAATAACAAATTTACATGAAGAGGCAGGCATTGCCAAAATAGATTCCCGAATTAACGAAATTAAGACTAAATTTGCACAAAAATGTATTTTATCAGAACATATATATAGTAGTTGTAGGTTAGTTGTAGTTGTAAATAGTAGTTATAAGTAGTCTCCTTTTTTCAAATTTTAAACAAACCAATCCCACCAAGGTGGTCATTCTTAAAACAGGCCTGATAGGACTAGGAACTGTAATTAATAATAATTTTAATTGAAAAGGAACTAAAGCTGAAAAGACGCATCTGTGTCACTTGATAAGGTATACATGTAAACCACACAATACAAGAAATAAAGATCATTTAAGTCAAGTTCTTCACCTGTTCCATTCAGTTCATCTCTTTTAGCGTTTCAAGTTAAAAAGCAAGTAGTTTTTTACGATGGATAACAATTTCAAGTGTTGTAAACCTCTACCTAAATCAATTTCAAAGCATGACACAGTAGCAGTTCAGTTGTTTATCTCAAAATTATTAGAATTTTTAAAGTCGCAAATAACAGTCCAGAAGTGTATTTTTATGTTAGATAGAGCAGCATCACAATACAAAAACATATAAAAATTTGCTAGCCTTTGTGGATTTAAAGATAAGCATAATGTAGAAATGGAATGGCATTTTTTGCAACTTCACACGGCAAAGGTCCTTGTGATGCGATTGGCGGTACCCTTAAGAGAATGGCAACCAGAGCAAGTTTAGCTAAGCAACACGAGCACCCTATAACGAACCCTAAACAACTGTACAACTGGGCAAATAGTCGTAAAGAAGATCTTCAAACAAAAATGTCATTTTGTTATGTTTCTACGGAAGAATACAAAAAGGCTAACACGGAATTTGATCCAATTTTTAAGAAAGTGAAACCAATTCCTGGAACTCGAAAATATCATTGCTATATTCCAGTTTCAAACAACCAAATTGCAGTAAAAATATTCTCTAATTCAAACGATACACCCAAATTATTCAATGTATTCAAATAATATGAGTTGTAAAATAAAATAATAAATATATACTGTTTCTTATCTCAATAAATCTTTCATTTGATCACATCAACGAGCTTCTCTTTCGCTGCCTCTAGATAGAAACGGGTAAGTCTGACAGCTACCATATCTGAGAATGAATTGTTTGGTTTTTAATATACAATCATGAAATAAAATCTCGTTACTGGACATCTCGACGAACATTTGAAAATGGCCTAATATGTTGAAAATTTTTATAATTATATTTTTTTAATTCGCATTAACTTGAGAACGGCTGGACTTAGGAAAAAAGTTTTTATATGCAAAGTTATCGAAAATTATGCGTTAAATCCAAATAATTTATTATTTTTTAAAAAATATGCATTTTCATCAACTTGTAAAAATAAACAAAAATTAAAAAAATTATAGCTTTCTTTTTAAGAAAGTTACCAGCATACACTTTTCACGAAATTTAAGAGTATTTCATCAATTTTCTTGAAAAAAACAATTATAAAGATCGAAGGGGGGGTGATTTGAGATAATCATCGTTTTACGTTTTTTAAATACTAATTTTCGAAGTTTTTACTTTCAGTATATTTTTTCCGCAAAGATAAATTAATTACCTAAAACTTCTTCTCATATGCCGTTTTGATCAGATCAATAGTTTTCAAGTTATGATTTTTTGGAAAAAAAATAATCCATTTTTTTTATACGCCCTTTTCAAAAGTTACTCTGGAGGAAAAAATCATATTTAAATGAAAAATGCAACCATTAGTAGCAGCGAACACGTGAGCAATGTTTCATTCAAATCAGAAGGGGTCGAGACAAAATTGACATTTTTTTTAACGATTTGAGCTAGAAATGCTCTGGAGGGCACTAGTCAAAAAAATTTAAAATTTACAAGACATGTGGATCATATTCGACCGAGATAATCAACTTTTAAAAGTGTCCGAAATTCGAGTTTAAGTGTCCGAAATTTGAATCGGCACGGTACATTTGGAACTGTACCCATTTTAAATCATCGGTAGATCCGGCTATACAGCCAGGCGACTTCAAACGGTAGATTATTAACTGGCTAACGTTTTTGGAAGCCTTCTGTAGGGGAGACTGAAAGGGTTTCATGTATATTTGTGTTGACTTAAACATAGAACATGTCAGTGTGACAAACTTAATTCAACCAGTCTCATTAAATTGACTATTGACTATACAGTTTCATCAAACATACGTTTGACTATTCATCGTTGATTTATTCATTAACAATTGTCAGGGGTTAATCTCAAGCACTCATTCTTAGCATGAGCGTATATCGTCATACCATATGTTGAATATTTGTTTATTCTATGCATATATTTGTGTTAGTAGGGAAATGGGTCTAATGTTGGCCTATGGATCTAAGATTGGGCCCATTGCTAAAAATCTGCTATTTATCAATTTTATCTAGATGAACGCGTCATTGGAATTTATATTTTTGGTCGCTATTGAAAATTTAGTCGATTGCTGAATTTATGTATGGGCCCAAATAGGGGTATTTAGGCCGGCATTACATCCATATCCCCTATATGAAAATTTTCCCTGCGGGGCGCAAAAAATGACAGTTTTCCACTAAACACAAAATCCTCTGGTTGATGTGTAAGCAGGGTTGTTAATGCCGTTAACATCTTCAATGCAAATTCCCATTAAAGACGTTAACGCTGACGTTAACGATTGACAACGATTGATTTCTTGTAGTGTCCAAATGATAGGTTTATAAATTTCAGACACTGCATGCGTTCCGTAGCAAACACCGGTTATTGTTACTCTATGGAGGGACAAGAGACCGACGTTAAATAAAGGAAAAACATGATATTTTTATGTTTTCTACTCTACATCATACCTTGGTTGGCATATCCACGATTATAAAATTAGTTGATGCTGATATTTTTGTTCTTTATACTTATAACTATTTTTACCCGAAACTCCGTTCAAAAGACGCAGCTATAAAATGTCATGTTAAATAAAAACATATGCAGTATTAGCATACGCATACCTTCAAAATCAGGTAACGAATTTATAATTTGTTAATAACTTTGCACTCAGTCGATAAAATATAATTTATCCTAAATCAAATGATTGGATAGAGTTTAAGGTTCAATTTACTTTGATGCTTTTTGGAAAATTTCAAAAGCAGTTTTTTCCGACTCATTATTTTAGATTGCAAAAAGCTCGCGTCATTTTGTGTAAAATATCAAAAGGAATCGAATAGTGCGAGCTTTTTGCAATCTGAAATAATGCGTCGGAAAAAACTGCTTTTGAAATTTTCCAAAAAGCATCAAAGTAAATTGAACCTTAAGCTTGCTCAGGATACGTAAAAATGTAGATTTACAGTGAGGCGAAATGCTTCTCATGTTTACGTTACAATAACGAAGTGGAAAATTTATGCGAATTCAAATATTGGTATCTAGCTACTCTTTGCATGGCTACAGCAAACTGAGATATTATTCTATCATTTGCTTTTGAGAAAACCAAATTTCATCAACTGATTGAAAAATTCTTAACAATTAAATAGTTTGTGTGTAAAACTATGCATGTCAAGCCAAACATATTTGTTTGCATCATTCATGCTTTTATCAACGCAGGGTTTTTAAACGTACAAGGGTTGTAGGGTTGGGGCAAGTAATAACAACGGATGAAGGTTTTGCATTATAAAGATTTTTTGTTTTAATTATAGCCATTTCAACAGCATTTGCATTGAAGAGTAGATATAATTCCATCTACTCTATATTTACTTCGCTTTACTGCATTATATTAAATGTGATGCTAGTAATGTAAAAACCTACAGTTAGTGTTTTGAATGTGTGTTTAATGAAAAGGACTACAAAATAGTACAAAAGTATTGTGTTAACACCAATGTGATCATGAATGCGAATAAATCGACCATTACTTACACACTTTAAAGCTTAGAAAATCCCCTTAAAATGATATGAAATCATAGTAAAACAAAAATATTCTGCTTCTAATTACAGCTGCTGTTGATTTTACATCGTCAAGCTTTCATGGTATGTTTATTTATGATTTTTGAATATCCTACATCGTTTTTCTCTCAGATAAATAATAAATAAAACGAAAAGCTTGATCAAATTATTTTGAAGCCACTGTGTTTTGCCCTGAGAGTGCATATTAATTCAGGCACCCCTAGAAACAAAATACCGAAATTGCATCAACATTTTGATTCCTATTAGTGGTCTTTGACCACAAATTAATTGCAGTCACTTGAGTCAATTAGATCGATCATATTATGCGCAATCTAGAAACATGCAAACGTAAATACAGAAATGCAAAGAAAAAACATGTCCAATAAATTGTCCATCGCTAATAAAAGTCATTGAGGGCTCATTAGAATAAGCGCAATGCTGGTGGAATGGAACTGAAATGACAATAATTCTCGATACAGATGACGATATTGATTAAAAATCGTGCTGACTGAAGAAAAGAAAAATTACATCGCATTCTCATCATCATTCGTCCTGCATCGGAAGAAAGCTTTGATCGAGCGAGAACATTTGTTTCCTGCGCAGAAAGCAAAAACGATGAAAATAAGCACTAGAAATAAGCTCAATCGATTTTGCCAACCAGGGGAATGATAAATGGCAGTGCTCCACAATGATACTTAAAACCAGCTGAATCTCGTTTGCCAAACGAAAACAAACCATATACTATTACTACTACTGCTAATACTACTACAACTGGCTGCTACTAATACTACACACTACTACTACTAGTTTCATACTACACCATTCAAATTTGGGGAGTAACATACAGAAAGCCATAGAGAGAGACACACGTATACATACAAAGCACGTGGTCTCTTGTCAGCCACGACCATCGTACCACCTACTCCCATCAGTCTGTGCTAGCCCACATGTGAGAACCGATCGTGTAATGTTGATGCACTTGAGATGACTTTTGAGGGATGATGAGCGAAGGAGGAGGTAAAATGGCATGCAAAGTAGGAGTTTGAGAATCAGCTTGATGTAGTAGATAATCATTTGCCGTATAAGATGAGTCTTAAAGACGTGTGAATGAGATATGCATGCATATATGTCACACTGTATAAATAATATGGTTTCTATGGCAACTAGGAAACATAAGAGCTTTTACACAAGACATCCACCAACACATCAAGTTGCCCTGCCGGGAAGAGCCAAATGCGAATCGTTTGCTTCAACGGCATCTTCGGTATCTATGGTAACATACCAACGTTTCCAGCACCGCCATCACACTGCTACTCAGTGAAATTCCAAACTGGTTTCAAGATTATTTTCACATATTATTCTTTCCTACGGGTTTGTGATTCTCTGCAAGGCAAAATCCTTCCATCTCATCTTGAATGATGCTGTTACTGAACATACATTGCGTCTATCTCTTATCGGAAAACCATACCTCTTCACTCCAGTTCTATGGATGCACTTTTCAACCAATGGAAAATATTTTTTTACCGTATTGTACTTATTTAGAGAATAACTATTCAGTAGTACCAATATTTTCATTTTCAAACAGAACAAAATTTATAAAAAATATTTTAAAATATATTGTAATAGTAAGGATCATAGTCATCTTATTAAAATATACCGTCCTAAAGCCCCACGAATCAATTCGATAAAGAAGCATAGAAACCTGCAATTAAGTTGAATTGTACAAAATTCCCATTTTTGGTATAGTATCATAAAAGAAAATATTTGCCTTTACAACATTCTACGCTCTGGAACCTCTTCCTTGCAGCGTGTCTTCCTATCAAACACCGTCTTTGTTACTCACCTTCCCATCAAGCTCCCCGTGTGCCTCACGGGCTTACAAATTTTTTCGTCTGCATGCCTAAATGGTACATTTAATTACTATAATTGATAGATGGGGTATATTATATGGTGGATAAGTCGAGAGTGTAAGCAAGAATGAAACAAAAAGCTGAGCCTTTTTGTGTATCAAGTTTTTTTTTCTCCATTCCCCCGTCAGATTTGAACACATTTTTTGTATAGCTACCCTGATGACTGATCTGGACAGCATTCACTACACCGCCAGACAGTCTGTTGGCTTCGCCATGTTAAGTTAAAGAGAAGTACAAAAAAACCACATACCTATCTATTGTGTTGTGAAGGCTTGTTTCACCCTTTCTTGGGTTTAATTTTCTATACTATCATTAGATAACAGTAATTACAGTGCCAGTTTCGATTTCAACAGGAAAACTTAGCCGATCCTGATCTTCTAAAGAAGTGTCTGCTTTATCGGCGCTTATTTTGAATGTTAATAGTGCTTAAATTAGATGCTGCATCGATTCGGAAAGGCATCTCCATTCACGGCATAATCATTGATAGTATGTTGATTTATTTAGCTTACATCGTCTTTTTCCGTCGGAATCCTCAATTCCACCACGTGTGTTCCGAATTTTCATTTATTTTGAATTGATCTTCTTATTCTTATTTTGATCTCAAACTGAAATGTTTTGCTTGCCCTCTTTTGGTATTCAGTTGTTGAATGAGCTATTGTTTTAAGTGTAATACAGTGAGGAAACGCTTTTGAAAACCACTGTAATTATAAATTAATCAAGCGAACAAACCGATAACTTATCTTTTCAACCATATTTTTTTTATATAAATAATCTTTTTTTTTCAGCACCACTTAAATTAATTTATTCGGTGAAATTAACCTGCCACTCAAAAATAGAAGCATGAACTAATAAACTTAAGTTCAAAAAGTTCAAGTTTAACTATTGGCTAAGATAATTCCAATTAACTAACATACAAAATAAAAATAAAAAAAAAACAACCACTCAAACCACATTTCTGGAAGTAAATTCGGATTCAGTGACCCCAAGTGCATAATAAGATCGTTGAATGACAAGTTTCTTCAAACATTAAAATTGTTGAAAGCTGAATTAGCATTAGCTTTTTAGTGTCCAGATAATTAAAATATAAACAAAATGTGACTTCATTCTATTTGATCACAGATGACATGAGCGCAGTAGGCTCTGCCAGCGGTCGCTTGGTTTTCTTGCGCAGTCATGCGTTTCACTAGAGAGGGTCTAGCATAGGAGAGGACCGGACTCAAAACAAACTTTCTTGGCATCCTAAGCCTAGATGATTTCTAGCACTTTTCACTTATTTTCCCTCGTGTGAAAGAATAGGTTTGTGGAGGTTTGTCGGAATCTATAGACGGTTTGATGATCATTAATTATTGTGTGTAAGCAGGGCTAAAAATATATACATCTATGAAAATATGTTCTTCCAGAAACGCATAGTATACATCTGTCCTTATATAATAGATTGATTAAATATTTATCGGTTTTTTTTTAACTCAAGCTTTGCTTGCTTGTAAAGTTTGAGCAAACCGTCACCTCCAGAATGGTAGTGCTTTATGGCTACTCCTTTACCGACTTAGGTAAGTATTTGTTGAATCTATTATTGTTTAGTTCGTCCAACATACCTTAACCAACAAATAACCAGTTAGGGGAGGGGGAGGGTCAGTATTAGCTCAGTCGGAAAAGGCGCAGCTACAAAGCAAGACCATGCTGGAGGTGGCTGGGTTCGATTCCCGGTTCGGTCTAGGAATTTTTTTGGGTTGGAAAATTTCTCGACTTCCCTGGGCATAGAGTATGATTGTACTTGCCACAATTGACCACTTTGTCAAGCAGTTTTGGCGTGACATTCTACCAGCGATTCCACAAAACTGAACCAACTAATTTCTGTTTTTTTATGAAACTCTTTTTTTTTACTCATCCCCTGGGTACTTAAGGGGGTTAGATTTTGATAAGTTCTTTAGTGGGAATGACACTGATGAAGACTGCACATTGTAGTCGAAATACGTATCTGTCATGGATACCAAAATTAATTAAGTGGAATTAAATGGAAGATAACCTTTTTTGCTGTTTTATTTAGCATTCCGCTAACATCCCAATTTCATTACTTCATTATGATGGCTACCAAGCCTTTGGGGATTTTCCTTTTTAGAGAGTTTTATAGATTTTTCTCCTTTAGCTTACTTAAATCTTTGGTTTTTATTAGTTAGGTAGGTTCCGATTCAACACATTGTAGTTTCATTTTTATACCTATGATCTTGACTTTTTTTTTTACCTAGGGGATGAGTACTTAAGGGGGTTAGATTTTGATAAGTTCTTTAGTGGGAATGACACTGATGAAGACTGCACATTGTAGTCGAAATACGTATCTGTCATGGATACCAAAATTAATTAAGTGGAATTAAATGGAAGATAACCTTTTTTGCTGTTTTATTTAGCATTCCGCTAACAACCCAATTTCATTACTTCATTATGATGGCTACCAAGCCTTTGGGGATTTTCCTTTTTAGAGAGTTTTATAGATTTTTCTCCTTTAGCTTACTTAAATCTTTGGTTTTTATTAGTTAGGTAGGTTCCGATTCAACACATTGTAGTTTCATTTTTATACCTATGATCTTGACTTTTTTTTACCTAGGGGATGAGTACTTAAGGGGGTTAGATTTTGATAAGTTCTTTAGTGGGAATGACACTGATGAAGACTGCACATTGTAGTCGAAATACGTATCTGTCATGGATACCAAAATTAATTAAGTGGAATTAAATGGAAGATAACCTTTTTTGCTGTTTTATTTAGCATTCCGCTAACAACCCAATTTCATTACTTCAATATAAATACCAGTGTATTTATATTCCAAACCGTGCAAAGTAAAAATCTAAAAATTGAGGGAAATTTAGTATCTAAACAAAAAAAGTGCTGAAGCAGATTTTTTACACATTTATTTTTTTTTCTTGTGTCGCGCAGATGGATCGCTTGAAAGTTTCATATCGTTACACGGTTTATAAATTTCTGCGATAGTACATGTAGTTAACGCTAGATTAATCGTAAATTTACATTATATTTCATGTAAATTTAAAAGTAATATCGCATAAGTCTGTCAAGAGAAAAACTTTGGAACTCGCATCACGCTTTTTGAAAGATTCCCTTTCCATTCACTTGGCAGCAGACGACTTCTACATTTACTTCAAATGACATCTAATTAGCAAATT